CATCGAGTTTTTGCCTAGCAAATTCTTCATTTTTCGCAGTAATTGAGACGGCTTGCCGTCGCCTAACTGCAGCGTTTTGAACAAGTCATTCAGTTTACGTTCTTGCGACTTCCCCGTCCTGTAGATTATTGCCTCTTTCAGTGTGTCGAAAGGGTTATGTATAGGGACGTTATTTAATAAATTCAACACATCGGACGCAATTTCAGGTGGCAGTTTTTCCACTACATAGGCATAACGTACCATCTGGGATTGTATCTTCTTCGCCTGAAATATAGCCTCTAACTGTGCGAACCAAACATTGACGTTGGTTGTGTCAAAGACTGGCAAGTTGAGCATCACGGTTGCTTCACTGGCGTTCTGTTCGGCCATGATAGATATATGTTTTTACGCACGTGGTGGACAAGAAAAAATTGGGGGGGGCGCTAAGTTGAAGTTTTTATATGTTGAATTCCTTATACTGTGTTTCGCACAATATAAGGTTCACTTCACTTTTGTCTGTTATATATTCCTTGAAAGTTGGTGTCACAAACTGTAGTTTGTTTCCGTCGGCGTCACCAATTGTTATGGTGTGATTAGTTGTTGGGTTGATCAAATATATAAATGCGGCTGCGTGTTTCAAGATAATCAACATCCATACATTAAATTTAAACATCAAGGAAAAAAATCAAGCTCAGTGAACATTAATAATATATTGTATTAACAATGGTGTACAAATTTTAACAATACGTATAAGGAAAGTTGCTTCCCTTTTTCCGTAATAAAAAAAGGTAAGTTTAGCTAATAAATGTTGAGTACAAAATTGAATGTAATTTAACTACAAAGTTCATTTGAAGTCTTAGCTAAATAAAGAATAGTTCCACAGTGTTTTATCAGTGTAGAAAAATGTAATGTTCATGAGTGATATCAACAGGAATTAGTATGATTACTCGAATGAGAAATTTTAAACTAATATTATTCAGGCTCCAAGGGGGAGGCTGACACCCCCAGGTCGTAACTCTCCTTTCAAAAGGGGAAGTTCAAAGGGGATGACTTGCGCAATTATTCCACGGTATTGCCGGTAAGCCCACTTTAATCGATGACCTTGTGTCAGCTTCAGTTACGACGCAGGCTTGATAAAAAACCTGCTCTAGATTTTGATATGAGTCATGAAAATTTGGGTGAGGTCGTAGGTTTTTGAAAATAAATTCTACTTTCATTTCTTTTTTTTTGTCCTTGGCGAATGGAGAAAAAAAACATGAATTAAATTTTCATTTATCAGAATTTGATGGAAAAAATCTAATTTCATTTTATTTTCTCCGCATTCATAAAATTACATTTAAAATTCATTTCAGTTTTTACAGTTAAAATAAAAGTTAATATTAACTTGGATTTTTATTCCTATTATATAAATTGTAGATTTCAACTTCTATTTATTAAATATTAAATTATCGTTAATAATTAATATTTAATTATTATGTCAATGATATCTGAATATACATTTGAAATTCGGCTGGAAAAGAAAAGTTGTTATTTGTTAACAAATTATTTTCATGAATTTTGAATGTTAAAACACAAAAAATGAGTTTAGAAATGAGTTTTGATGACTTTATTTACAAGGCAGATAGATAGATAGATAGCTAGATAGATAGACAGAGACAGACATACGCAGAGGCCGGAATAGATAAAGAGACAGATACAGAGGCCGTAATAGATAGATAGATAGATATACGCAGAGGCCGGAATAGATAGACAGGCAGACACAGAGGCCGGAATAGATAGATAGATAGATAGATAGATAGATAGATAGATAGATAGATAATGAATAGACTGCGATAGATAGATAGATAGATAGATAGATAGATAGATAGATAGATAGATAGATATACGCAGAGGCCGGAAAAGATAGACAGACAGATACAGAGGCCGGAATAGATAGATAGATAGATAGATAGACATACGCAGAGGCCGGAATAGATAAACAGACAGATACAGAAGCCGGAATAGATAGATAGATAGATATACGCAGAGGCCGGAATAGATAGATAGATAATGAATAGACTGCGATAGATAGATAGATGCATAGGCCGGAATAGATAGACAGACAGATACGGAGGCCGGAATAGATAGATAGATAGACAGACAGATACAGAAGCCGGAATAGATAGACAGACAGATAGAGAAGATAGGAATAGATAGATAGATGATAGATAGAGATGATATGGATAGATAGATAGATAGATAGATAGATAGATAGATATATACGCAGAGACCGGAATAGATAGATAGATAGATAGATAGATAGATAGATAGATATGGATAGATAGATAGATATACGCAGAGGCCGGAATAGATGAGACAGACAGATACAGAGGCCTGAATAGATAGATAGATAGATAGATAGATAGATAGATAGATAGATAGATAGATAGACATGCGCAGAGGCCGGAATAGATAGATAGATAGAAAGATATACGCATAGGGCCGGAATGAATAGACGAATGATAGATACAGATAGATAGAATAGATATGATAGATAGATAGATGGATGATAGATGGATATACGCAGAGGGCCGGAATAGATAGACAGACAGATACAGAAGCCGGAATAAATAGATGGATAGATGGATAGATGGATAGAATACATGCAGAGGCCGGAATAGATAGATAGATAGATAGATAGATAGATAATGAATAGACTGCGATAGATAGATAGATAGATAGATAGATAGATAGATATACGCAGATACCAGAATAGATAGACAGATATATGCAGTGGCCGGAATAGATAGACAGATAGATAGATAGATAGATAGATAGATAGATAGATAGATAGATAGATATACGCATAGGCCGGAGTAAATAGACGGACACATACAGAAGCCGGAATAGATAGATAGATAGATAGATAGATAGATAGATAGATATACGCAGAGACCGGAATAAATAGATAGATAACGAATAGACTGCGATAGATAGATAGATAGATATATGCAGAGGCCGGAATAGATAGACAGATAGATAGATAGATAGACATACGCAGAGGCCGGAATAGATAAACAGACAGATACAGAAGCCGGAATAGATAGATAGATAGATATACGCAGAGGCCGGAATAGATAGATAGATAATGAATAGACTGCGATAGATAGATAGATGCATAGGCCGGAATAGATAGACAGACAGATACGGAGGCCGGAATAGATAGATAGATAGACAGACAGATACAGAAGCCGGAATAGATAGACAGACAGATAGAGAAGCCGGAATAGATAGATAGATAGATAGATAGATAGATAGATAGATAGATAGATAGATAGATAGATAGATATACGCAGAGACCGGAATAGATAGATAGATAGATAGATAGATAGATAGATAGATAATATACGTATAGGCCGGATTAAATAGACGGACACATACAGAAGCCGGAATAGATAGATAGATAGATATACGCAGAGGCCGGAATAGATAGACAGACAGATACAGAGGCCTGAATAGATAGATAGATAGATAGATAGATAGATAGACATGCGCAGAGGCCGGAATAGATAGATAGATAGAAAGATATACGCATAGGCCGGAATGAATAGACGGCCAGATACAGAAGCCAGAATAGATAGATAGATAGATAGACATACGCAGAGGCCGGAATAGATAGACAGACAGATACAGAAGCCGGAATAAATAGATAGGTAGATGGATAGATAGATAGATATACGCAGAGGCCGGAATAGATAGATAGATAGATAGATAGATAGATAGATAGATAATGAATAGACTGCGATAGATAGATAGATAGATAGATATACGCAGAGGCCGGAAAAGATAGACAGACAGATACAGAGGCCGGAATAGATAGATAGATAGATAGATGAATAGATGATACATATACGCAGAGACCGGAATAGATGAATATTAGATACAGAGGCCGGAACAGATAGATAGATAATGAATAGACTGCGATAGATAGATGAATAGATAGATAGATGATAGATAGATAGATAGATAGATATACGCAGAGACCAGAATGGATAGATAGATGGATGGATATACTTTAATAGATAAAAGATGAACAGACTGATACAGATAGCCGGAATAGATAGATAGATAAATGGATAGATAGATGGATAGATGAATAGATAGATAGATAGATGATATATACGCAATAGATAAGATAACTGGAATAGATAGATAGACAGACAGATACAGAGGCCGGAATAGATGATATGAATATACGCAGAGACCGGAATAGATAGATGGATGGATGGATAGATAGATAGATGGATGAATAGATGGATGGATGGATGGATAATAGATATAGATAGACTGCGATGATAGATAGATAGATGGATGATAGATAGATGATATGGATACATACGCAGAGGCCGGAGCAGGTAAAATAAGACGGACACATACAGATAATAGCCGGAAGATAGATAGATGGATAGATAGATAGATAAATGAATGGATAGATGGATGGATGAATGAATATAGATAGATAGAGGACCGGAATAGATGGATAGATAACGAATAGACTGCGATAGATAGATAGATAGATATATGCAGAGGCCGGAATAGATAGACAGATAGATAGATAGATAGACATACGCAGAGGCCGGAATAGATAAACAGACAGATACAGAAGCCGGAATAGATAGATAGATAGATATACGCAGAGGCCGGAATAGATAGATAGATAATGAATAGACTGCGATAGATAGATAGATGCATAGATGCCGGAATAGATGAACAGACAGATACGGATAGGCCGGAATAGATAGAATAGATAGATAGATGAATATATGAATACTTGAAATATAGATAGATAGATGAATATATTTCGCAGAGACCGGAATAGATAGATAGATAGATAGATGGATAGATAGATGAATGATGGATGTACGTATAGGCCGGATTAAATGAACGGACACATACAAAGCCGGAATAATAGATAGATGATAGATATACGCAAAGGCCGGAATAGATGGACAGACAGATACAGAGGCCTGAATATATGATATTTATAGATAGATAGATAGACATGCGCAGAGGCCGGAATAGATAGATAGATAGAGAGATAGATAGCATAGGCCGGAATGAATAGACGACCAGATAGATAGATAAAATTTGATAGATAGATAGATGAATGGACATACGCAGAGGCCGGAATAGATGAACAGACAGATACAGATAGCCGGAATAAATAGATGGGTAGATGGATAGATAGATAGATATACGCAGAGGCCGGAATAGATAGATAGATAGATAGATAATGAATAGACTGCGATAGATAGATAGATAGATGATAGATAGATAGATAGATAGATAGATAGATAGATGCATAGGCCGGTATAGATAGACGGACAGATACAGAAGCCGGGATAGATAGATAGACAGATAGATATACACAGAGACCGGAATAGATAGATAGATAGATAGATATACGCAGAGGCCGGAATAGATAAACAAACAGATACAGAAGCCGGAATAGATAGATAGATAGATATATAGATAGATATACGCAGAGACCGGAATAGATAGATAGATATACGCAGAGACCGGAATAGATAGATTGATAATGAATAGACTGCGATAGATAGATAGATAGATAGATAGATATACGCAGAGGCTGAAATAGATAGACAGACAGATACAGAAGCCGGAATAGATGGATAGATAGATAGATAGATAGATATACGCAGAGGCCGGAATAGATAGATAGATATGAGTTGAGGCCGAAATAGATTAGATTGATTTACACACATACATTTATATAAGGACCACATATATACACACACACACACATATACAATGACCACATATATACACACTAAGTGACACATGTGTGCGTGTCTTTGTGTGTGTGACGTCCTTCCTCCCCTTAATATTATTTCCCTCCCTTGTTTGTCTTAGGAAACGCCCTTTAATCTCTAGTGGTGTGATTATTCTCGTCCAATGAAATCCCTTCAAATCCTATGACGTCACATCGCTTTTCCGCTCACTTCACTTCACGAGAAACAACGCCTAGAAGACGTCATTTTTTTTGCTTTCCCAAATTTCAAGAAAAACTCATTTTATTCAAGTGAAATCGAAACGAAATCAAATGTAAGTCAGAATTCCACCCTTGACCTTTTGTCGTCATTTTTTGACCGGTGCTGACTCCTCTTTATCGCTTGACTCTTTGTTGTTTGGAATTTACCCGTTGGCATTTTGAACTTCATTTTCGTTAAGTTTGTTTATTTTATTTTTTATATTTTTGCGACCTCAGAGAAAAAGTTTTTTGATTTTTTTCTTTCTTTTCTCCATTTTATTTCCCCCGACCCCCGCCTTATTATTTTTGCTCGTTTTTCTTTTTATTCCTGTTTTCCTTTTTGATTTTCGTTTTTTTTACCCCTGTAATTCCCGCAGTTTTTTCTTTGTTTTTAATTCTCATTTCTATCCCCTTTAATTTTTGCTCTTTTTTCTTTTTTTTCCTTTTTAATTTTCATTTTCCTTAATTTATTCTGTGTCTCGTTTTAATTAATTTATTTATTTAATTGTTTCTTTCCATCTTTCTAATTTTTACGTGTTTTTTGTTTATAATCGTTGTATTGTCCAATTTATTTGTTTATTTTCTTTTGTTAATTGGTTCGACTCGCTTAGGGTCGGCCATTTTTAATTTTGTGTCTAGCTTCGTCTGTCCTCGCTGCGTATTTTTTGTTTATTGACGTCGGCCATTTTGTTTTTTTTTGTAACTAGCTTTGTGCTATTTTTCCGTATTTTTTTTGTTGACGTCGGCCATTTTGAAATTTTTTTTTCAGTTTTTTGTCAAGTTTTTCCGTTTTTTATTATCTAACGTTTTTTATTTTTATTGTTTATTTTCTTTGGACAAAAGTGGCAACTCGGCTCCCGGGACGCTTGCGAGCTACCTGGACCGAGTTTTAGTTAAGAGAGTCGATGTAGGACTCTTAGGGTGTCCAAGTTTCCATTATATAGTTTATACGGATCATAGGCTTGCCCGGGTCCGCGTAAACTTAGATAAGCCTAAGGTTAGATTGGCTGGCTACTGGAAATTGAACTGTTCATTATTTGGTGAGCAGGATTTCCGGGACCAGCTGCTACTAATGATTCAGAGGGAATTGACGGGGGCGGTTTTGGGAAACGCCTGGTGGGGCAAATTAAAATCCAAAATTAGAACGTTTGCTGTCGATTTTAGTCGTCGACTCAATCTAGATAGATTAGCGGCGCAAACGGCTTTAGAAGATAAAGTTGATCGGGCCGTGAAATCCCGTGTTAGTGGGGATATAGCCTCAGCTAAGGCAGAGTTGTCCTCCTTGCTTATCAAGAAGGATCAAGCTCTGGTAGTTAGGGCTAGGCTAAAAAGAATGTCTTCTGAGGCGACGAACATGGCCGCTGAATTGCGTGCAGAGGAAAATCGGAACGCGGCTAGGCGACATATAGCGTGCGTCACATTGCCGGATAAGCGGACCGTGACTACAAACGTGGGCATATGCGAGGCCTTTCGGGATTACTTTCAGGATCTTTTCACCAGGGGGCCCGGTCTGATCTCTGCTCAGTTCGACGCCTATTTGGCTGACTTTCCCTGCCTTGAGGCAGCTGAAGCGGCTAGGTGCGAGGGTCCCATTACAGAGTCGGAAATCTGGGAAGCGCTGAAGCAGGTTGGCCTGGATAAGTCTCCGGGACTAGATGGTCTTCCCTACGAAGTGTACTTGAGGCTGTCGCCTGTTTTTGTTCCTTTGCTGGGACTGATTTTCAACCACTGGATGAAGCAGGGGTCTATACCTCAACGCTTCACCAGGGGTGTGATCAAGTTGCTGCGTAAGGACAAGAACGGCGGGGATAGGTTAGGGAACTTTCGCCCTTTAACGATGTTAAATACTGACTTAAAGATTTTGGCGAAGATCTTAGCCAACCGTTTACAGCTTGTCCTGTCTCGTCGGATTGGCCCCGAACAGACTTGTGCTGTGAAGGGCAGGACTATTCAGGATAACCTTCATATGGTACGCTTGATCTTAGAACAAGTCGACAGTGAAGCCGCGCTGATCAATTTAGATCAGTCCAAGGCCTTCGATAGGGTTGACCATCGGTTTCTGGAGGCTGTCCTTTCGGCGGACGGTTTCGGAGCCGACTTACGCTCCTGGATCCGACTTTTGTATGCGACCCCCGGTGCGCTGGTGGAAGTGAATGGGGTAAGATCGAAGCCTTTCGTATTGTCTCGCTCCATTCGTCAAGGTTGTCCGCTCTCGCCTCTGCTTTACGTTCTTGCGTTGGAACCATTCCTTCGCAAGTTAAAGGCGAATCCGGTCCTGCACGGAATTACCCTGCCTGGGGCTACCACCTCAGCCAGGTATTCTGCCTATGCTGACGACGTTTCGGCTCTTGTGTCGGGCAGAGCCGTGATTGACGAAGTCAGCAAAGAGATCAGTGGGTATGAGATGGTGACAGGGGCCAAGATCAACCGCGATAAGTCTGTGGGCTTGCGGTTGGGTGCGTGGAAGGGAGTTTCTCTTCCCGGACCTTTCCTCTGGACGGATGGGCCGATCAAGATACTCGGCGTCTGGTTCGGTCCTGATCTCCAGTTGGAAATGAACTGGTCGGAGGTATAAGGGAAGGCCGAGATCGCGGTTAATCTGTGGTCTCGGAGGAGACTTTCCCTGAAGGGAAGGGCGGAGGTATGTGTTTCGCACATATATCCGATTCTCCTGTACCGACTCTCTGTACTTCCACTCCCGTATGCCAGACTAATTTCACTAGTAAGGACTTTGTTCTCTTTCTTGTAGAGAGACAAGGCCCCTATGGTATCTCGCGAGATCTGTTGCCTTCATCCCTCTGAGGGCGGTCTGTGTATGCCTAGCATTGAGATTCGTCAATATATGCTTCGCATCACCTTTCTAGACCGAATGTGTCGCGGGTCGGATGCGGAGGGTGCCTTTTGGAAAGAAGACGTCCAGAAACATTTCCCGTCCCTGAGAAGTGTGCACTCGTGTGAAGAAGAGGTCGGCCGTACACCACGTGCCGAGTGCTCTTTCTATCGTGAATGTCGTCGCGCTCTGAAGCTCCTCTTACGGGCTTCGGATGACCTCTCCAACGCCCAGGCGTTGTCTCGCAAGGCATTATATCAAGTGTTAGTTAGGGGGGGGCGTACAAGATGATCTAATTGACGAGCTCGGTCTTACGAAGCAGGAGGCTCGCTCGATATGGCCTTGGGCGCCTGGGTTGAAATGCCTCAATAACGATGAGGCATCACTTACCTGGCTGGTGATTCGTGAAGCCCTCTGGGTCGGCAAGAGACTTTGTTCAGCAGGCTTGGAGAAATATCCAAACTGTCGTCGCTGTACGGGGGAAGTCGAGACCATTGGTCACGCCTTCTTTCAGTGCAAGGCGGTAGTGCCGTTGTGACACTATGAGTTGGATATATGCGCACGCGTGTGTGTGTGCGCCCGCACATCTGTGTGTGTGTATATATACACCCACACATCTGTGTGTGCGTGCGCGCGCACACATATGTGCGAGAAGATTAGTTAGATTTGACCTGGGTATCAAACTTCAAGACCCAATGACTAGATTAGGAATCTAGATAAAAACATGTTTTGGACATATGGCCAAAAGGGTAGATAAATGTCAAGTACTTGTCAAAATACGAAGATAGTTAAAAGACCGGCTCTGGTCAAAACTTAAAAGGGTCTGAATTTAATGTCCCTGGATCGGAGTCAGCTAGGCTTAGAAATATTTTTATGTCCACTTTTCTTCAAAGGGAGAAATGGTCATGAAATAGTTATGGGTTTATTCGTGGGTGTCCCCGCCCGGAAATGACGAAAGAAGATTCCGCATATACACGGGAGCGCCTTGGGTTACAGGCAGACTTAGTTTAGGTTCGAGGAAGGTTGATTCAGGCCGGAGCAAGTAGCAACGAAGAGCGACACACTAGCAGCCGGACATTGTTAGTTAGGATATATATATTTTTTTGCCAGCCGAGAATCAGCCCAGAGTTAATTATCCACAAAAGGTCACACGCCCTCCCTCCTCTTTTCATCCTACCCAAGTTTGTAGTTGTGTTTTTCTTTTGCATGTGAACCTGCCTCTCGCTCGATCCGCCGTACAGAAATTCTAAGACGTGGGGTCTATATCTTTGTGTAACGAGTGCAGAGGTGGGTAGTCTCACACCGTTGTGCAGGTTTGTTGAAGGCCTCATGGTTCGCATGCTGCAGGGAAAGTTTTTTGTCCTTGAAGCCTGTTCTGTTTATAGCAATGTGGTGCCGCAGATGACGAAGGCTGAACACTATGTGTTCTGTTGCTTGCTAGGGGTTATGAGATTCGTGATTTGGACGACGCGTCAGAAGGGATTCTATGAGGGCGAGAGGTTCACTTCTTCCCAACTGATCTTGTTCTTTAAGCATCTGTTTAAAGTCAAGATCAACACGGAAAGGCGGCGGCTCACCTCATCAGAATTTGGCAAAAGGTGGGTGAATCTTGCGCGTATGTGCCGAGTAAAAGGGGCTGACCTTGAGTGGCATTTGGATGCCGGTTAGGCATTAGGATATTGTTTTCCTGGGTTCAACATAGGCAACCTATCCCGAAATTAGGTTAGCATAGGTCTTGTTTTTTGAGTTTTAGTTTTTTTTCTCTTTTTCAGTAAACTTAGCTAGGTTGTGTTTGCTCATTGGTCCCTTTTATTTCTGTCCCCATTTTCTTTTCCTTTAGTTTAACTCCCCATCCCCTCCCTCGTTTAGGTGGTCAGTGATGTCAGTTCTCTGGTGGATGTGGG